GTTTTGAGACTGTCTGTCCAGATTAAACGAGATTCTTCCAGTTTGGTTAATCGCCAATTCCTTTCAAATTTTCGCGATATTTGTTTTAACCTACGGGTTTGAGAGTTATACCAAGGAGCAAACTTTCTTTGCTTTGTTAACTTCTTTTTAAGAGGAGCTACAGAGTCGAGCGTTGTTCGCAGCGAGCCTACGGCGCTATCAACAAAATGATCAATTTGGGAGAGGTTAAAGTCGGCACGGGAAACCTCTGTTACTGAAGGTATTGGTATTGAATTTAACGACGAAGTAATCTTTTCCTTAAATTTTGTGACAGCACTATCTGATAAACATCTAGTATAGTAACTGTTGCTGAGTGGCGTGTAATCGAGTAAAAAGAAATCAAAAGTAATCAGATAATGATCTGATAGCAAGGGATTCTGTGGAAAGACTTTTAGGTTATCAATATAATATAAGTCAGCCCTGTGATAGTCTGGTGACCTGTCCAGAGTGCACCCTGACTCTCCAGCCCCCCGCAACCCCTAACAGGATGAGCAGTTTGGGATAATAAATGAATAATTCTGTTTCCTCATTCTGAATTAATATTTCATAAATTTAAAGGTCCAGTGTGCAGGATTTAATGGCAGTCAGGTTGCAAACCTGAAATGTCTCCCATGTGCCAAGCATGTATCTTCAGTAGCCAACATGAAAACTCCAATAGCCCAATCCAGGGGTGTAAAATAGACAGTGCAGGCAGTGCGGTTGCACAGGGGCCCATGGGACGAAGGGGCCCATAGACAGCGCAGGCCCTCCAACAGTGTGTTGGCCAGAGAACAGGCTCCTGTAGGCTCACAAGTCAGTCTTTAGACGATTTGCTTAACTAAAGACTGATGTCTTTCTCCCTGATTTTGTGTTTAGATGGGCAGATACAATTTCAGAGTTTAAAAAAACTCCCTTCGTTGCAGAACCAATAGTAAATCTGCAGGGCGGTCCTTCGGTGGCTCGCTGAACTCTTGTGCTCGTAAACATAGTCCGACCAGAAACACGTGTAGCGGTACAAAATGGCTCAAGTCGCTGTAAGTCCTTCATTTCCACAATCTTGAGGACTGAGCACACGTTTGATAAAATGGAGTTAAATCTCTCGGCATCCATTTTCAAGCTCTCTGTATGTTTGTGTCCTTGCAGACGAGAAAAGGCGCACATTTCCGGGAGGGCGTGTCCTTTTCAAAAATGCAAGAGGCGTTGCTAATATGTATGTTTATGTTGTCCAATGTCAAAATCTTGCACTGGGGCCCATCATAGTAACATGCGCTGGGGCCTGTCCTAACTACCATACACCACTGACCCTGTCTAGTGTTTGATTTGTCAATTCTGCCAGGGCTACTGGAGAACAACATGGCGGGCTCCATTGAAGCGTACCTTCTACATATGTAGAGACACCACATTGCTCATTCTAAGGTCACCAACTAATGAAAATAGACCTATGACTATTACATTCCACCTCTGCCAATAAATGCCCCTAAATTCTACACACTAGACCTTTAAAAGTGTTTTTCGATTTTACTCTTTATGACGTGATCATCTAACATCAGTTTGAGTTTTCCTTATTCTAACCTGAGCCCAAATGTATCCCTGACCCCAACCAGTTTTCTCTACGATGCTTAATCACAACCAAGGAGGTTAAAAAGGCTCAATAGCTGGTGAACTATTATTGAACATGAAGGATGATTGATTCATTTTACTGAGGCGTCTGCAGTTGGCCTTAAGGCGGGATACTTTTGTATTAATAATAAAGATATAGGTGAGAATTATAATTGTGTAATGACTGAAAAAGTCCTGTCCTCAGGTCGACACTGGGCAGTGTCATGCTGGGAGTTACAGGAGGTGACCCAAGTTCATGCACCAGTAGTAATGACCTATGTTGCTGTTTCTAAATTGATTAATTTCTATTTGATTTTTAAACAGTTTAAATTCACAATTGTTTTTAATTCAGCATTGAAAATCTATTATTC